CCCACCATGAAAGCTAGAACGCCCACTAGTGGGCGGTAGGGACCAGGTTGACTACCACTGCTCTAGGTCATTCCTATCTCTCTCTTAAATGTTTGATTGCAGATAATCCATATTGATTCATAATATATATTTAATTTGCCTTTGCCTATATAATAAGTGGACACGGTAGAGCAGTGGCTAGGACGCTGAGCTTGTCGATCAGAAAGGTCGGTAGTTTGAATCCCTAGCACCACATAATGGAGTGAGCTCACATTACTTATCCCAGCTTCTGCCAACCTAGCAGTTTGAAAGCATGTAAAAATGCAAGTAGAAAAATAGGAACCATCTTTGGTGGGAAGGCACAGTAACAGCGTTCCGTGTGCTTTCAGTGCGTAATAATGCTGGTCATATGACCACGGAGACATCTTCGGACAGCGCAGGCTCTTTGGCTTTGAAACAGAGATGAGTACTGCCCTCTAGAGTCGGGAATGACTAGCACTTATATGTGAGGGGAACCTTTAGCTTTATATAATAAGTAATACTCCATCTTGGTATGTTTTGATATTTTTATGCTTGTAATAGATGACTAGACTCCTTGAGGAAATATTTATATATTAGACCTTATTGAGCTAGCTGGATCAACACTTCGTTAAAGACATTTTCTTCATTTGAAAATTAATACATATTTAAATATAATGTTCCATAAATGTCTACTGAAAACTGCCTGGATTTTGAAATGTTGACAGATCAATCCTTGTCCATCTTTTATCTTTTTTTAGGACTGTATTTTCTAAAATGTAATTGTGTCCAAGCACATGTCCACTCCCCCCCATCCTTTCTTTTTTTTAAAATGTTATATAAATGTTAAAAATGTTATAAATGTTACTCTTTGAAAACACCTTGAAATTATACCTGTTTCCTACTTATCTATATGTAGCAGTCATTTGTAGATATAATTTAGGCTCTTTCTTCCTCAAGGAACAGAAAATTGCTTGAAAAGAAGAACCAGATTGATGTATCTTACTTAGCAAATTGAATCGCATAACACAGAATGAAAATAGGTCTTCTTACAGAGCAATCTATGGAACAGTCTTCAATCAGAGAGTCATAATTCCGTTAATTTTCCAGGTGTACATGGTATAACATATCAGGGTTGTAGTCAAAAAGTCTAGAAAGTGGCTTAGCTTGGTTCAAGATATTAATGGCTGAAAGGAATACCCTGAGCCCTTCAGATACCTATTTTGCCTTTTAAAATCCCCCAACTCCACTCTCACCCAAGAAAGGCTTTAGGGGCAGCAGAAAGAAACTGCATGTGGCCTGTGCTTTTCATACTCCTGCCTTAAGACTTAGGCTTTTTGTTGTTGTTGTTGTTCATTTTTGCTGTTGCAAATGTGCTGAAGATAAACCTAATGTAGTTAGTGAAGTCATGCTGCATTGTGAATTGCAAAATCAAAAACAGTTTTCTAGTAAAGATAACAAAGACCTACCCTTGAGTGATTGATGAGAACATTATATGAGTGCAATGGGCTGGAAAGTCATCATCTTGTCTTTTCCTTAGCCACAGGAAAGACATACTAGAGAGACCTCTTTTCTTCTGGCTATGCATAAGAGGGGTTTACATGGCATGGAAATGTGTTACACCAAGCAGAAGCTCATGAGTTTGCAGGGCACACAGTAAATCTGTTTAGTATCTGAAGCACAAAAGAGAACAGCACTCTTTTGATAGTGATGCCTGGCCCCTTTCATTTGCTTTTCTAAATATACCATTTGCTTCCAATTCATTGAGTGGCATTTTGCAACAGTGCATACTTTTCGTGTGGTAGACTCTCTGATTGGTGGGTGGTTGTTTTTATTCTTAATTGGCATGAGTAAATGAAAGGTTACTTAGGCTCTGATGTAGTAGAGGTACTTCAGTCTGTTTAAAGCTGTTTGCCAAAATACAGCATCTGTTTTAACCCTCCATATTTCCCACTGAGTAATTTGTAGAGGGATAATATCCTAACCTCTCACCAATTGCAACTATTCCTTGATTTTCCTAGTACGGTTTTCATGTTTTAATAACCACGACTATGCAAACAAGGAAAAAAGAATTCTGGATTTGTAATTAGATATAGTTATCTAGATAAACAAGACTAAGTAAGTATTCACCCCTCTTTGAGAAGGATGGAAGGAGAGTTCTTTTCATTTCTTTCACTGTGATGTCTCTTTTTTTATATACTTTCCAAGAAAAAGATCCATGAGAAGGAAAGAACTTGGTGTTTGTTTCCTAGCTTAATTTTTAACCTATCAGTATTAAACTGAGAAAAAGAGGGGCAGGCATTTATCCATGCTCCATTTATTAGATGACAGTGGAAGAATATTAGGGCAAAAAAAATCCTCAAAAGGATATATGGATAAAAGCTAACTCCTTGCACCCTTTGAAAGGAGTGTTTGTCTTGGGCTAAGAAGCTAGACATAATTTCAAAGGGCAGAGGCTATACTGCAAGTCAGTATTAGATTGTCGTATTTAGGCACCCTTGAGACAAAAGTGTTATATTCAATTTCTTTGCAATTATATTTTCTTAATTCAAAGGTTCTGCTCATTTTTTTTGTTTGGCTTGTCTTAAGAAATTGAGATTTTTAAGGGTGACAGTTTTTGTTTACCTGGTTACAATTTTACCAGATCTGCTAAGAACTTGTTCCTTTCTGCAATTCAAGTCACCCTTAATCTAGGAAGGTGGTGCAAATTCTCTATTTGAGTCCCTCAGCCTGAAGCTGCTTGCAAAAAGCATGTTCCCCTTTGGAGCATTATCTCAGCTTCCTAATCACTGACCAGCTGTCTTGTTAGTGAATAGAACTGTGGGCCCCATGCCATGTTTCATGTGAGGTCTTGGCTGGGTGGCCAAGCAGGCAGCCTGCAGCCACCATCAAAGCAATTTGAGAGATATTGGCACAGCATTGCCTCCATTAATATCTGTTGTCACATGCTGTCATGCAACTTAAACCAGAGAGGAAATGACCACTGGTGACAGAGGAAGTGTGCTGGTAGCATTTAGTGTCTCTAGACATTGTCCTTGAGGTTAAACAAGTGGATACATTTATATGATGTCCATAAACAGCTGTTAGGAAGCAAAACCTGAATTTTGGCCCTATCACCATGTGTTTCTCTTCCAATAAGAAAAATGCTTTCAGCACAAGCCATCTCTTAAATGTTTACAATAATAATAATTAACAATAACAATAATTAACAAAACAATTCGACAAATGCATTTTCAGATATAAACTTAACTTCATTTAGTAAACATTATAGCTTAGGGAGATCATCTAGGAATGGTTCCTCTGAGCTGTAACATGAAATCAGCCAATGTTATTTTACGTTAATAAATTACCAATATATAATAGAATGATGTTTGAATCAGGATGAAAAGGAAAGAGATACAATTCCATGTTTCATTCATATAATTTTGCATTTTGTCCATTAATCTTCAGTTTAGGTTCTCCTAATATTTAGAAGACACACCGGCTTCGTACATAATGCTAAGACATGTTTTAAATGTCTTTTGTGTTCATGTATCTACTAAACAGAAATCGTAATACAGCCTTTAGTTTAAAAGAGGAGGTGGAGTTGCACTATATACAAGAAATAACTATATCTCTACAGAAATAGAGCACAACAATGATGAGAACTATCTTGAATGCATTTGGGCCAATATTAAAGGTTGGGGGCAGGAGAGAGAATGACATTGCCATAGTTCTATACTACAGGCCACCCANCAGGTTGCAGAAACAGAACAACATTGTAGAAACAACAATTACAAATAATCCTGGACTTATGGCCATTCATTTAGTAATTATTTGAAATTACGGTTTGATTTTAAAAAATGACTTATAGCTAGCCACTCATGACTATCACAGCTTCCTCACAGTCAAATGATCATAATCAAAGCAATTGCTCATATTTATAATAGTTGCAGTGTCCTGGGATTATGTAATTGTAATTTACAACTTTCCCAGTTGGCTGCCAACAAGCAAAATCAATGGGAAAACTGGCAGGGAAGGTTTCAAATTTGATTTTACATTTTATTTAACAACCACAGTGATTGACGTAACAAAAATGACAAAAAAGATTGTAAAATTGAGTGTAATCATGTGATGCCACACTTAACATTTGCACCATTTAACAATGAAGTTTCTGATATTAACTATGATTGCAAATTAAGGACTACCTGAATGGGAAGTGCTTCAGACCATGTTCAATCACTGGTCTATCCAGCTTAGTATTATTGCTACCAGCTGTCGGTGGAAAATCAGAGAATGACCCTGGAGCTCACACTGTGTGCTCTACCTTTGAATTATGTCCCCTTTCTGGATGATTAAGCATCAGCAGTTATGCTGACCAAATTGTTAATCTGCCAGTGAAAGTAGAACAGAATATTTTACAAGTCAAACAAAATGCTTACAACCTAAGCATTCTGTGTCATGATAATATCCATATAACACTTAGTCCACGATCAGCGATACTGAACTAATAACAGCAGAGCATTTCCATACTATAAAATATAACAAGATCATGATTTGATAGATATGATTTAATTAAAGCAAAGCATAAAGTCCACTCTTTGGTTGAATTGGAATCTTATTTACACTATGTTTTTCCCCTCAATATCTCCCCAAAGTAAATTCAAACATGACTCTGGGCCACATTTTATACTTATTTGTCCTTCAAATTACTCCTTTTTATTCTTTTTATTCTTATTCTGCATTCTTTCTTGCATCTGAAACATCCTTGGTCCTCTCTGAGAATTGTTGTCTTGTGGACGTTTCATTATCCAAACAAGGTGACATCATTTTTGCTAGTATCCTCTGGACACTAACACTGATGATGTTACATAGTTTGGATAAACATCTGCAAGAAAACAACCAAGCTCAGAGAGCACCAACCATTTATTTCAATCCTGAACCACAAATATTCTCATTTATTGGTTTCTTTTATCTTTTTGACTCTTGACTGGTTCTCTACCTGATTTTTATTCAATTCTAAATCTCCCCACAACATTGTTATTCTCATATTTAGGTCTTTTAACTAATCTATATCTTTCAACAGCTGGACTTAAGCATTCTAATCATGATTGTTCTCTCACGATTATAATTCTTAGAGAATCCCAGATTAGAGGCTTCTCTATGCTATAGGTGCAAAGGTTTTATACTTGTGTATAAAATATGTTATATTGAAGTTAGCTTCAATAAATATCTCTGTTGGATAAGTGGAGCAAGAATGTAAGAGAAAGAGGAGGATGAATTCTTATTGTATTTCTCCCAACTCTGTATCATACTGTTTAACCAAACCAGTTCTAAAAGAATGCATAGGATGTTAGACATATGAAAAGACTCTAATGAAAGAGTATACAGATGTCTTTCATGCATTTAAATTGTAAAGACTAATTTTGAAGCTAAAAGGCAAACAACATTGTGCTAGGAGCCATATGCTTCATATTACCAAAGTATTCATGCACAGGTCTGTCACTCAATGAGAAACAACACAGACTGAAACAGAGGAGATCTTGAAAGAAATGACTTGTGGGAAATCAAACCATCCCTAAATATGTGTTTTATTATCTTTGGGTGTTCTTTTCTCAGTTACCACCATCATAAAACCAGTTCCCAGCATCCATGAAAAAGGCTCCCCCTCAAACCACATATCAAGATGCAGAACACTGTGACTACAGACTAGAGTTGGGTGAAAGGAATGGAAGCAGATGCAAATGTTATTCTGCAGCCAGTAGTCTTGTTTCCATCAAAGGAGCTCGCATTGATGTCTGATCTCATGCTTCTTACAGATGCAAGATTTCCATAAAGCAAGAGTTGGGCACATGGCTGAATTATAATTCCCCATTAGTTTCCATTCAGTGCTAAACTGAAGAGAGTAGCATATAAGAATTGTCAATTAAAAATTTAAAAAATATCAAAAGGCAGTCACGAGCCAGCCTAGGATTAATTCATATGCGATTAGATAAAATGGTTAATCTTGTGCTACTTTGTAGTGTATCTACCAATAAAAGCCTTTGTCACACAATACATGTTCTCCATATATAAAGTTAACCAGGGAAGATTTTATTCAGCTTTTTGGATTTTTTGGGACATTTTGCCCAATGGCAATTCAAACCTCTATGTCAAGGATTGTCAACCTTTTTATACCTACCGCCCACTTTTGTATCTCTGTTAATAGTAAAATTTTCTA